GGTCCCTAGAGAGATAAACATCTCAAAAAGAGGTCTAAGATCCCTAAGAAGGACCTTCGACACCCCTAATCAGCTAAAGATCTTATACCAGACACTAGAAGAGAGGCTACCAGTGACAAAAAGATGAGAAGTTCTTTCAAGCATTTCCCCACGAAGAATATAGGAGACAACCTCTGGGTTGACAATGATCTTCCTCTTAAATAGATTTTGTCTAAAAGAAAATCTATCTAATAAAAGCTTCCTGAAAAAGACCACCACTTTAGAGGGGTCCCATCTCTCCCAAATAAGAGGAGAAGGGGGGAAACTCCTTATCTATAGAAGACTCGGGAGGCGAACCCATATCATAAATGACTTGGTACGCATACGCCACATGAAAAAAATACCATCTCTAGAATGGCTCTAAATCCACTTATCTCTTTCCTTAGTAAACTGAAATTCTTGAAGGGCTAAGAATTAAGTTGAGACCAAAGGTTCTTCTCGGGTGAAGAAATTTCTTCTCCACCTAAGATCCCACAAAGTTCTCCCCTCTTCCCACCTACCTACATTACTAACAGACCCTTTTTGAAATTGAGAAATGGTAAAGAGTATCAGAAATATGACCTTAATGAGAGTGCTTCCAAGCAAGGGTCTTCCTAAAAAGAAGTCTAAAGACCTGTTCCCACCCTCTTAATAAGACCTACCTCAAACGAATTCGAGAGGCCATATTCTTTAGATTCAAGGAGGAACACACCTTTCAACCAATTGTCTTCCTTTTAAAAAGGATGATTGATTAGGAGAGATCAATTTATCCATCATCAATCCCAACCAATTAGCCAAAATCTTGGCAATCAACTTATACAAAGATATAACCAGGGAGATGGGATGAAAAATCTCCCAAAGAGTAGGGGTTCTTAAGCTAGGGGATATGGGTCACAAAAAAGAAGAAAAGTTGTGAGGCAAGGATGCAAAATGGTGAAACTCATCAAACATGATCCGAATGTGATCCCTTACCAGTCCCCAAAACTTCTTAAGGAAAGAAAAATTAAGTTTGTCAGCACCCGAGCTCTTGTCGCCTTCACACTGAGACACAACTCTATTAATTTCCTCTAGGAGTAAAGGAGCAGTCAATTCTTGATTATCCTCCACCGAGAAAGATTGGAGAGGCACCTCATCAAGCCTATATCTTAAGGCATCTAGTTTAGAATACTGGTCAGAAAAGTAGCTAAAAATCTATTGACGAATTTCAGATACTCCTTCAAGCCAAACTTTCCTCGCTTTGACGGCAAGAATCGAGTTTCAACTACTTTTACCTTTAATAGAAGCATGAAAGAAAATCGAATTTTCATCATACGCTTTCCTTTAGCCACCTTTCCTTAGCTCCCTGGCACAATTGAGAATCCTTGGCCCTAAGAAAAGACTAGAGGTTGACAAAAGCAACAAACCTTGCTTCCACTTCCTCCACATGGAGGGTTTATGTGCCTGCAGATAAATTCAGACTTTCAATGACTTCTCTAAGAGAGTCAATTTGACTGTTCATGTTACCAAACCTGTTTATACCATATTTTAATAGAAAATTTGAAAGAACGAAGTTTCCTCATGAGCACAAAGGCCTTCCAACCCCGATTTGAGGAAGCTAACCAAGAATTCCTAACCAAGGCAAAAACGCAGCATGAGACAACCGGTGATTATTGAGCTAAAAAGGTTTAGGGCCTTACATCTAGTTATCATACTTCAAAATCATAGGGCGATGATCATAAACATCTCTAGGGAGATTCTGTTGCGTAACAGACCTATGCCAGTCCCACCACCAATCAGAAACCAAAATAAATTCTAGCCTACTAACTGCCTCTCCATTTGGATGAAATCAAGTAAACTTCTTATCAAAGAGGGATCCAAAATATCCACCTGGGATATAAACAGGGAGATGGCTACACACTCAGAATTATTAGAGAAATTATAAGATACATTGCTTCCAATTCTTTCTAAAGATGAGAAGTCAGAGTTAAAATCTCCATGGACACACCACTTATCACTTCCAAAAGAAGAATTACGAGGGAAAATTTTGCTCCACATAATTATTTTATCATACATAAGGGGTATAGAGTAGACTTTAACCACATAATAGATTTATTTGGAGGCACCTCACTCCAAACAAACACCGATAAACCAAGACCCAAAAAGGAAAAAAAAAGTCTTTCTCCTTTAGAGCTACGCCATATTGATAACAACCCATCACTATTACCTTTGGCATGAAGAAAAATCCACTCATAGAAATGGTACCCCCATAGGGGATGCACAAGAGAATTTGAGACCTCCAATAAATATGCCTCTTGGGTAGCCACAAATTCTAAGAAATTTGCAAGAATAAGATCACTTACCTTCTTTCTTTTAATTTTACCCAACCCCTTAATATTGAAAGTGGATACTAACATTTAACCTTCATTTTAGAGGTGAGAGACACTCTCTTCTTCCTATCTTTCCTTTCAAAAGTCATAAGTTTTTAAAGCTTCACCTTATCCTTCGAGAAGTACTCGCAACCCAATTGCTCAGTAAAATTTATAATTCTCTTGGCTACAACACTCTCTACAATCTTACTCGTTTCTAGGATAATTGTTCGAATCATAGTTAAAGGGGAGTTTTTGTTATCGTCTCCACAAGAATTGTTCTAATATCTGATGCTTGTCGTTCAATAATGTACCGTTATAAGAAAAAGGGTTTTCAAATTATGTTTCATAAATTGTCGCGATTTTTAGTAGCAAAACTTATAAATTCTAAAGTGTTTGATTAATAAAGTATATCAAAAATAGTTTTCATCTACACTAACTTATACGTATTCTTTTAATCTTGTATGTGAAGCGGATCCGATTAATATCATCATGTATTCTCTCAATATCGTCTATCTCTAGACCGACATCGTGAGAAATACCATATTCATCGCTACACGATCTCTCCATATAAGAACCAATATAGTAAGTTTTAAGTTCAATACAAAGCAAATATCAACCATAGACCGATCTCTCCAATATATAAATCGATAGATGAATATTTTAGGTCAAGTTCCATAAAATCTTTGTCTAAAGTTTTACAAAACAAGAATGGATCAGTAAGAACAAAAATATTCATCATATATTAATCATCACTTGTTCACATACAAGGCCAATCAAAAGAAATACATAAAGCTAAGGTAGACTACTTCTACCTTTGATACAAAGGAAATTAGCTACTCATAACCATGGTAGCTTGCTTTACAAATCTTGAGAAAAGATGAATGAGCATCTACGTCGAAGAATTGAACTCAGATGCGAATCTAGCTTCTATGTGTAAAATATCACTCTTTGGTGAATAAATGCTGAAGAAATGGGCTTCTATGTGAAAATGGGGGTTATGATCCCAAAAAGTGTGAAAAGTACTTATATAGTACAACTAAAGTCTGCCAAGTTCGCCTAACAAACGCTTTCTTCACCCAACGAGGACTACTTTATAGCACCTGAATTGCTTCTGAACAGTTAAATCGTCCCTGGGAAATATCTAAACTCGTCTAGCGAACACTTCTTTGCCCTGCGAGCCTCTTCGCTACAAGTTTGCACAGCGAACTTAGAGACATTTTCATACTGCCTCTAATCTGAGATGGTTCGATGGGGCTTCGCCGCTACTTCGCTCATCGAATATTCGTTGGCTGCTCGCTGTTGTTCGCCCAACGAACATGCTGAATCTTTACATTTTCTTTGTCTTCCTTGTCAATTTACTTTAGTCTTATTCTTTTGATGGTTTATGCTTAAATCCTGCATAATAACACACAAATCAAAACAACCAAAGGTATTTGCAACATATTGAAGAATAGCATGAAAACATGAAATAAATTTATTGAAACATAACAAATGAGATGAAAAATGTCAATTATAATAAATCAATTTAAAGCATATTTGACATTCAACAATAATTTACTATAAAGTTAGAAATGAGGAAGGAGAAGGAATCAAAGAACCTTACAAACACATAAAATAAAATAAAAAACTCTACAAGCATCCATCACAATTATTTATAAACATAAATTTAGTTATACTAAAACTCAAACATTTCTAACAATTCAACAATAGTAATTTATAAATAGTGTAAAAAAAATTAATATTCACACATATTTATTTTTGAAGAAAAGTTCGAGGGTGCTTGATTTAGCAACCAAATATTAAATAAAAAGAAGATTATGATTGTGATTTATTTAGGGCATTGTTTGTTTTAGTTATACAATTTTTTTTAATAACTTTTATAAAAATGTTTTTCAAAATATTATAAGTTTTTTTAAATTTGTTTTTTTTAAATTGAAAGATTATTTTTGACATTCTATAGCATAAATATAAATGATTGAATATCAAAATATAATTGAAATGATTTAAAAAAATTGTATCACAAAAATAATTTTAAAAAACTATTTAAAATAACTTCAAAACTAAGTGATTTTTTTTGAAATTTTAATATTAAAATAATAAAATATCTAAAATAAAATTTTAAAAATAACAATTTAAATCAAATTTTCATTTAAAATTTTTATGAAAAGTTTTTTTAAAAAATATTTTACATAAAAATATATAACACTAAAAATAATTAAAAAAAACACCAAATGAACACTTTCTCTCACTCTTTTAAGCATATCTTATATCCCTCTCCATGTTTCATTACCATCACATTACCTATCCATGCTTTCTACCTTTACTTCACAAAGTTTAATGAACCCATCCTACCTATTACAGGTTTCAAAACTAAACCAATAGAAAAGCAGATGAAGATCACATAAAAACAAAAAATAGAGAATTTAAGCATTTTTGTTTCCATTCACAGAAAGAAAACTGCACAAAAGGAAGTTGAATGAAGCACTCATCACAATATATTCTTATCCCATTTTACACTATTAAAAAGCTCCTTTTTACTTGCTATGAAAAGATGAAACCAACCCTCATTTCACAAATACTATTCTCAAAACCCTTTGAATATTTCTCACAAGTTCTAAATTCCATCATATCAACATGAACAATATTCACTTTGGAAATGAGAGAGAGCAAATTCTGAAGAAGAGGAAATCATGTGATGAAGCCACTACCAACATGAAAACTTCAAAGAGAAGATTATGCAACAACAATAACAATGAAGAAGTGAAAAACAACAAGGGATCAGTGTCCACAACACTGAAGCTTTACGACGACCCATGGAAGATAAAGAAGACACTAACCGACAGCGATCTAGGAATCTTGAGCAGACTCTTGTTGGCTGCAGATTTAGTGAAGAAACAAATTTTGCCTATGTTGGATGTTGATGAAGCTAGAGCTGCAGAAACCGAGGAAGGTTCCCCGGTTCATGTTTTCGACATGGAAACAAACACCATGCATGAACTCGTTCTAAAGCGATGGTCTTCGTCCAAGAGTTATGTTCTTATTGGAAAGTGGAATCAAGATTTTGTGAGAAGAAGAGAGCTTAAGAAAGGAGATGAAATTGGATTTCAATGGGATCCTTTTAACCGCACTTTCAATTTCTGTGTTCTTAAAAGGGCTATGCACATGTTATAATTCATGATCTTCACTTGTTTCTAAATCTTGAATTTGTTGTGTAATATATTATATACCAAGTTGAAGTTCAATTTATATATGTTGCTTAATCATGTAAACATGTAATGTTGCAATCATTTGAAATATTCAGACTAATTTTTATCTATAATTTTTATCTTGTATATCTTTTTTCTTTATTAGAAGAAAAGTTTGGAGTAAGAGGAGGTTTTATGTGATGATATTAGAAGGAAAATTAAACTAATAATACGAAAACATATTTTTTTAAAATGCTTGAATGACGTATGATATACAAGAGGTTTTTTATATGGACGGGTACTTCACGATCAAGATTACACCGTTTGGGGTGAACTTGTGATTAATGGAGAAAGTAGAAGAAGGAAAGTTAAAAGCATTAGTATCAGAAGCTCGTGAATGACTAGGATAGTGGTTTTGTGGAAATTTCTCCAAGGTCTCGTTTAGATGTGGATAATGAGTGATTAACATGGTTGAGATGTTACGGAATTTCATGTCATGCTTGGTTACTTAAGTTCTTTGAATTCATAATGTGTCCAGTTGGAGTATATGTTTGATCTGATGACAAGACAAGACTCCAGACGAAGATGGATGTTATGAGAATATTAGTTAGAATAAAGTATTGTCTGGTCTTAAATGAAACTTTTAAGGTTGAGATTAACGACAATGTTTACAATGTTAAATTGGTGGAAGGCATGTATGGTCCAAAGAGAATAGTAATTCCAAGCGAAGCAAATGGTTGAAAATTTATAGGCATGAAATCATCAAGTTCAGACAAAGAAGACGATGCGTGGGTAGAAATGTTACAGGAAGAAGAAAATGTCAACTCATTTCTCAGGGAAAGTACCCACTGCAGCATGAAAAGATCTGCCGAAAAAGCAGAGAACCTTGAGAAGGCGTTGATTGTAATGCCTTGTATTTCTCTTAAATGTTCAATTGGGAGTCAGTTGATATCAACTGAATTCCTATGCACTCTAATTTGTGTCAGTTGAAATAGTTGAAGTTCTTAAGTGCTCTAAATATCATCAGTTATGATCAATAGAGCAACTAGTGGACTCATTTAAGATCAATTGTTGATAAAAGGGACATGCCAATATTAATAAGTATAAGAGGATATTTTGATAACTCTAATATTTGGCCAATTGGTAACAAAATATCAAATAGAGATATTTTACACTAATATATATTATATAGTATGTTTTTTATATATATGTTTATGAGAAAGAAGTTAGTAAAGAAAAAACGAGGAAATAATAAAAAATAAGAGTGGAAAAGAAGAAGAAGAACTCATGAAGAAGGGAGAAGAAATTTGATCTGGAGTGATCAGAATGGATCGTCATGGCCTTCAGTGTAGGGCAGCAACAATGGTTGTAGGAAAGGAAGTTTTTGGGCTAGAGAGAGCAAGTACACGTGTTTAGGTATGAGTTAGAATGATTTGAATACCTGACCCTCTCAAGAGAGAGGGTATTTATGAGATTCCCCCAGCGCGGGGCCAAGGTCTCTCATATGGCCGAAATATCTGGTCGACCAATGGGAGACTGCCAGGTGGAAGATCTAGCGTGTGATCTTTGACCTAGTCCAACTGTCCCCGTGAATTCCGGAGGGGCAGTTGGTCGCGTGAATTGCCAAGCGCGTGAGGGTGATGTCTCTCACGTCTATATTCTCCAACGACTATATTGTGTCGAACGGTCATATTGTGCCCAACAGTTAATTGTCTTAATATCCTTATTGGGCCTTGCCTAAAGTTGGACTGGATTGGGCCTTGCCCAACCGTGGACCATGTGTCAGTCCAGTCTGTTGTATCCCAAAATTTGACCAACCTTTTTCTTGTACTTGGCTTATGTTTCATTTCATTTTAGCATTTGCATTCGCATAGCATTGTCCTTGACAGGGGATCAAGAGAGGTGTGTCATTCAAGAGTACTCTCAAGGGTTTCGAACTCAAGCAAGAGTACTTATTCAAGTCATCAAGAAGTGGTCAGAGCTCTTTGAGAGAGAAGATTGATGTGTGTTGCTTATCTCCTATCTTGGAGGTCAAAGGAAGATCATCAGGGGTCCATGAGATCATTATTATGGATAAGAGATGTTTGAGAAGCTCATTAAGTGCTTTGGAAACCATTGTGGAGCTTGTCTAAGCGCTTATTTCATCTGCAAGAGGTCACAGTCAAAGGTTGTGCACCTAGGGTTTCATCTGGTCAACTCAAGGTCAACTGTGGACTTGAGAGAGTTTGAGACTTAGTTCAAAGTCATTGAATCCATGGGAAGTTATGTTGAGACATCTAGGATGTCATATCAAGGTCAAATTAAGAGAAATCAAGAGTTCAAGAGGTTACTAAATTAGGGTTTCAGAGGATCTCAGTGTAAAATCCCCTTCTTTGGTGCCTAACTTCAAGAACAAGTTACCTCATGATACAAGCTCAATATCATTTTATTGTAAATATGAAACGTGTAGGGCATGTTCTAAGCTTTCTTTTGAGTACTAGAACTCATCCATTGGGTTTGTGAAACTCAAGTTATGATGCCAACAAGTTAGAGGTCTCAAATGAACTTATTTTTGGTCAACTAAACGTCAACTCACTTCTAAGGCACTTTTGACCTAGAACCAAGTTTCTCCTCAACTTTAAGTGAACATGAAAGTTGTTCTTCATGATCTTAGCTTCCCAAAAATTCCTAGAAGTCCTTGATATCATTTGTAGAACTCAAGTTATGGACCTTACAAGGCAAGGGTATTTGGGGAAGATTTCATTATAGGTCATTTTCATGCACTTGTGTACCTCAAATGAACTTCAAACCAACAAGAAAGTTGCTCCTAGAGACCTTATTTACATCATAAAACTCAAGGATCATGTGAATTATGGATGGTTATGGACATGTGGGAGAATTTTCAAGTGAAAAATGAACTTTAAAGGATGATTTCAATTCAATTCATTATAGGTCATGTTTATGATTTATTTTGATCCAATTCATTTCACAATACACTCATAGCAAAATTGCACAAATTGGTTTTGGTACAAGAAGGCAAAAACACATGAAAATCCAAATTTCTTCACAAAGAAGTTTCAACTTCAATCTTGCAAATTAGATCAAATCAAAGGCCCAAACCAATTCCCATGTCAAAATGAACTTACAAGCGGCAGGTTGGAGTGGTTTTCAGGTGTCTATGAGAGCATTTCACGTGCGCATGAGAAGCTTGCCATTTTTGGGCATTTTTCAAATTAATCAAATTAAGGCTTCATAGGCCTTCCAAACCATCTGAAATCCATCATATATTGTCGCAACTGCGAAAAATAACCGGCGGAAAAAACAGAAGAGTCGCCACTTTCGTTATTTATCCTAAAGAGAGGGAAAGGAAACGATCGCAAAAACCTAAAGAAAAGGGGAAAGACAAGGTCATCGCAACCATGTCTAGATTCGAGAGTCGGTTACACAAGGGGAAGGTATGAGCACCCCTCACGTCCGTCGTACTCGACGGGATCCACGCTTAGGTTGTATAGTCTATGGGTGAAAAACAATCTATCTACGGCTGCTAAAGCTAAACGTAAAGAACTGACTCGATAGAGCATCTCCACTCTATACCTACGTATTCCCTCGTGCAATGGGAAAGTCAGAGTCAACGTAGTTCGGGAAACTACGGGGGAAGTTGCTCGCCAAGACGTCGCGTCTTATGCCTACGTATTCTCATCTGGCATGAGAAATCAGAGCAAAACATAGTTCAGGCTAACTACGGGTAAGCAAAGGGGATTCTCGATCACACAGGGGTGAGAGAAAGGGTTGATGATACTAGCGTACACATTCTAACAGTTAGGTGTATGATGCTCGACCATTGGAGACTTAGGTGTTACCTGTTTGCGGTAGAACGAACGTAGTATGTCGGGTTTAGAGGTACGAGAACCTACAGGATCTAGAACTACAGTCTGGTCTCAATTGCGCTAGAGCGAGAGAAAGGGAAAGGTTAGTCGTCAGCGGGAAAGTCTCGATCACACGGCAGCGAGAGAACAGAGAAGTTAGTTGTTAGTGTGCTCGCTAGGATATCGCATCCTATGCCTACATATTCTTGTCCAGTACGAGAAATCAGAGCAGCTGTAGTTCAACTAACTACAGAAAACGGTCTCGATTGCATGGGGCAAGAGAAAAGAACTCAATCGCCAGAACGCGAGAGAAAAGGGGAAGTCTCAATCGCCAGGACGCGAGAGAAAAAGTTCAGAACGGGACGCACACGCGAAGTCCTAGACGTAGGAGCGAATGCGTCGCATATTGTCCTAAGGACATATACTAAACACTCTAGGCAATTGAGAAGTGGCCACTCAATCACCATTTCCCACGTATCTAAACGAAAACTCACAACACTCGAAGGTTGAAAAGAAAGAGATGAAAGAAGTGAAATAAAAACAATGTTACCGAACGGAATGGTTCCGTTGACCCTTGACTTTTGCGTGCAAATTCCATTTCCAAGCTCTACTCTTTTATCCTTGATGATGACATTTCGAACCAGAACCGGTGTGACGTTGAACCGTCATAATTCGACTTATAAAAGAAGTCAAACCCCAAGAGATAGCGTATTAATATTCGTGTCAAAGACAAGATAGAGAAATGATATTGAGAATCATTCTCCGAATAAATCATGTCACACGGCAAACACAACAGAAAAGCAAAATAAAATCAGAAGGAGAAGAAAAGATGATGAGAGAAAAAGCGGTCTTGGATCCTACATCATCCATCAACAAGTTGATTTATAATGGTTTACGGAGGTCTCGTCATCGACCTATAAAACAAAAATGGTGAGAAAAGTCCAATAACAAAAGGAGATAAGAACTCAACTTTAATAGAAAATAGTTTCTAAAAAGAAAAAGAAAATAAAGTTCTAATAAGAAAATAAATCCTAAAAGAAATTATCAAAAAAAATTAAAAAGAAAATGGAATATAAAATTCTATATATTTAATATTATAAAAGAAATACAAAATATAAATTTCTAAAAAGAAAATGCTAAG